TAATTGAGCAACTTGGTTCTCCAAATTTCGCAACGAGGCTTGGGTAGCGGTCATGAATTGGGCCAATATCTCATCCGTGCTTGATTTTTGGGCCGGTGGATTGTTGCCTTGATAGCTTTGTTGAGGAGGGGCTTGATTTTGGAATTGGCCTTGAGGTCTTTGATATCCTTGGCCTTGTTGATTTCCTCCATATTGTCCTTGTGATCTCCACCCTTGATTTTGGAATTGGCGAGGCGCGTTATTGACGTAGTTGAGCGACTCCACATCTTGTTGGCATTGGAGCGTGTAGTGATTTCCACAGCAAATTTCACAACATGGAGAATCAATTGCTTGGACTTGTTGTGGTGGACTTGCTTTGATGTGCTGCAGAAGGAGTTGATTTTGTTGAGCAATTTGGGTCACTTGAGCTTGAAGGGCCGTAATTGCGTCTAACTCCAACACTCCGGGAACTTTCTTGGCTCCACTAACCGTCCTCTCGCTTGACTTGGCAAACCGATTTTGAGCAATTTGATCCAACATGATGAAAGCATCCGGTATCGATTGACTCATAAAATTTCCTCCGGTTGAGGCATCTAAAACGGTTCGTGCATTCTCGTTGATCCCTTGGTAGAAAATGTGGATTTGCCGCCATTGTTCGACTCCATGTGTTGGACATTGCCGCAAAAGAGTTTTAAATCTCTCCCATGCCTCGTATAATTGCTCGCCTTGCTCTGGGACAAAATTGTGAATTTCTCGCCGGATTCTTTCGTCCTTCTCGGGTGAGCTATAGACTTTCATGAAAAGGTTGAGGAGTTGAGGCCACGACGAGATAGAGTGGGGGGCTTGGGACATCAACCACTGGCGAGCTCTTCCTTGTAGGGAGTGCTTGAAGAGAATTAATTGAAGCGCCTCTTGGGAAACGCCGTTTTGACGGTGGGAGTTACAGGTATCTAGAAAATTGACAATGTGAAGATGGGGATCTTCACCCGCCAATCCACTAAATAGCCCGTTATTTTGGAGCATCGTCAATAGGCCTTGCTTGATCTCAAAATTGTGCGCCTCAATAGGTGGATATTGGATGCTCGGGCGGAATCCGTCATGAGTCGGGATTATGTAATCTTGAAGTGCCCGTGGCCTAACTGCTGGCTGTACTGGAAGTTGAGGGGGTGGGTCTTGGACTTGGTTTCCGTTGGCCCCGAGTAAATTACCCGCTGCCCTGCGTTCTTCGTCCTCCATTATATTGTTTGCGCGTTGACGTCTCCTAGCGGCTCGAAAAGTGCGTTCGATTTCGGGATCAAACGGTTCTCTAGCAAGATCGAGTCTCCTAGGCATACACCGTACCTAAAACAAAAAAAATAAAATAAAACGAAAATTAAATGGGTGAATCGTGAAAATTGTTCAAATATAGAGCTAGAATAAAATAAATAATTAAAATAATTCCCCGGCAACGGCGCCAAAAACTTGTTGGTTGAAAACCTACACGCAAGTGCACGTATCGTACAAGTAATATAGTGGACAATTAAGTCCGGATATCGAACCCACAGGGAATATTTAATTATCTAATCCTAGACGCTAAATTCTACCAATTATTATCAAGCCCACCCTACACAGTCGAATAAGGATTACTAAACTAAATTAAACTAAATTAAAAACAAGCAAAAACAAGAAAGCAATTTAAAACGAAGATTAATCAAAGTAGACAAGCCTAGGATTTTATTCTCCCCCCTATGTGATTATTACTCCCCCAATTCCTTCAATTATGCAAGCAATTAACCCGGATTATTAACCTGAGATGCTAAAATAATCATAACCCGCTTCCGCGTGTATTACAATTCTAATACTCTAGATTCAATTACTATATTCCTATGCAATTAATTCTAGAACACAACATTAAGCACAAATCTCAATAATGGCTACCTAAGAGATTAACTATATTCCTATGTTAATACCACAAAGGCTCTTCTACCACAGTTCTAATTATTAACCCGATCTTCCGATTCATGCGATTAACAATAACATAAAAGCACATAAAGTGGCCAGTTTCATGAACTTAATAAAACAAGTAGAAGAAATAATCCGGAATTAAAACTTGCATAAAATCATAGAAAAGGGTTCATAAATCCCACATAGGGTTCCAAATAAAATCCTAGAAATAAGTAGTTTAGCTACTCATGATTAAAGCAAAAACGCAAATAAAATAAATCATAGACGATAAATCTTTGCTTGAAGTCTTCGAATTCTTCTTCTTCGTTATTGCTTTGTGGCTCTTGAAATTGCGTAAAAAGAGATTCTAATTGTGTGCTTGGCTTGGTCTTATATAGGGTGAAGAACTTGGGGAAGAAGGCAGTTTCCTTGTGCAATTAAAATTCCTTCACTGCGCTATTTCGCCCATCCGGACGGCCGTGTGAGATTTATGCCAAAAATCCGCACGGCCGTGCGGTCCTTGATTCTCCAGAATTCTGCTTGTTTCACTTTTGGCCCATATATTCTCCAAAATTGCAGTTTTGACCCCATACTTTTCCAATTCTTCAATTTATACCTGAAATACAATAAATCAACTTTTTAAGCACCAATTATCGTTAAAACACACCAAAAGCTCAAATAAAAAGATACGATAAAGTGTAAAAATATACACTTAACACCGCTATGGGCTGGTTACGGCGTCTATGACGATGGCTATGGTGGCGGAGAACAACAGATCTGCAAATCCCATGCAGCGGCTTATCCCAAAGTGGCGGTAGAGAGAGACGGTTGCTATGGCGATACATCCCTATCATCATCCAGAAGTGGCGGTAGAGGGAGGTGATGGTGATGGTGGTTATTGAGGGGATGGTTATGGTGGTAGATGACCATTGGAGACGGTGGTGTAATGTTAGATTGACGGTGGGAGGTGGTTGCATCAACCTAAGGTTTTTTGACGGCACTAGGTTTTGGTGGGCACCTAGAGTCTGGTGGATAGGAGTTGGCGGCGGCTACGAGTTTGTTGGCTGCTAGAGTTTTGGCCACGGTTGAAAGTAGTTTTTCTGCTAAGGTTTGAAATAGTACGCCGTAGTAAACCATACTACACAATAGTATATCATAGTAAACTATAGTATACCATACACTATTATAGTATTGACAACAAAAAAATAAAAAAAAAATAAAAAAAATATATATATATATATATATATATATATATATATATATATATATATATATGTATATGTAAATTGAATAAAAAATGAAAAACAAGTTTTTTGTATTTTTGAATAATATGTAAAAAAAATGGATCTTTTTTATATAATGTACAAAATGTTAAAATGAAGGTGTTTTTAGTAAAAAAAAAACATTTTTTGAGATATTAGATGGAAAAATGAAAATACTTAATGCATAACAAAAAAATGATAAATCCATTTGAATTTTACTTAATGCTCATTTCAAATTTGTGAGTGGAAGTGTAATTTTGGAATAAATTTTATAAAGAACGTGTAGCAAATGTTTAGTTTAGTTTGTCGTTTAGTTCTAATAATATTTGTTACAATGTATGCATATCTTAAGCCCCTAATTTTTAATGTTTTGGATATGGTGTTTTTAGGTCACTTGAGTATAATTTTTAATAATAGCTTCAGGCTTGATTCATATTATAAGCTCCCTAGCAGCTTGTTTTCTAAAATTAAAGCTCTTTTTGGAAAAAAAATACTGAACATATTTTATGAGCTTATAAGTTATTACTTATTATACATCTTATAAAATATTTTGAAGAGCTTATAAGCTTTACCAAACACATGATCAACCTCTTAATCGCGTATAATATGGATCAAGCCTAAAGCTATTATTTTTATTTTTTATTTCCCATATGTATATGTATATGTAAGATCCATATATGTATTTGTATATGTATGATTCATATCCAATGAGATAATATTTGAAGTATTTTTCATTTTTCTTGTATATCTTTACAACATTGAGATACAATATATACATACACACATAGAATCACCTGTTCTAGGTAATAGATTACGTATTATACACCACGAATAATAACCCTTCAAATTTCAATTAAGCAATAGTATAATGGTAATTATATAATGCAGTCAAAACATAAATCTACATCTCCAAAGCCACAAATTAATTTTGATATTGTAACTCCTTGTCAACGTGGCCATGTTTACATCATGTACAAAATAATTTATTTACAAATCAAAAATAAATAAATTATATCAATATATATTGCATTAGTATATAAACTATGAAATTAAATAGGACAAATATCTTTTATAGTCCCTCAAATATACATTTAGTCTCACTTTAGTCCCTCGTCTTTAAAATGCATCAATATTACCCTCCATCTCTAAAATTGACCCAGTATCATCCTTCTCTTAACATTCCATTAACATCTAACGAAAGTAATCCAAAAATGGAATATTCCCTAAAATAATTGTATTATTTTGCAAAACTAAGGGAGAAATAAAAGAATAGAAAATTAAAATATATATATATATATATGACTAAAAATAATATTTTTTTGATCATTTTTTTTTATAAGAGTTTGAATGATTGTTACTTGCGCATTTAATAGTTTCGCAAACAACAATTAAATTGTGCATGCTGCATGCAAGTAAGAATCCTTTTTCTATTCCAAAGACCATTATCTTATACACGTGAATCTCTATAAATTAATACAGTTGAGACTAATAAAACTCTATTATTAATTTAGCAAAATATTAGTTTTTTGAACTAATAATTTAGTATGTTCTTATCGAGTCGCGACCGAAAGAAATTATTATTTAAACAAGATTATTACTTTATCGAGTATTAATATATCAAGGTTCTACTGTACTCTTCTATGTCCTAAGTAAAATTGTATCAGTATATATGTAGGAGGGTACTATATATAGAATAAAATTGTGTATGCTAATATAGCATTATATATTATATATTTTATATATATAAAACAAAATAAAAATATGACCGTTGCAGTTTTGCGCCCCCATCCCACCCCCACTCATATATATATATATATACACAAACTTATAAGAGTAGCATTTTAATTTGTTGTTTATAGGTTCACTCAGATTCTTTTAAGGAAAAAACAACTTATTCCCATAATTCTTGTTCCAAGAAACTAAATTCTCATTCTCTCCTTCAACTCTCTGTCAGATATCATTATTCTCTTCATCTCTACAATATATTTATTTATATCTATATACATATATATGTATATATATGTGCCACTTAATTAGCTTAGATTAATTAGAAGCAAAAATAAATAGAGAAATTAAATATGGCTGGTTTTATCTTCTCCTCTTTTATTAATACTCATAATAATATTTTCATAATTATTAGTATTCTCTTCACCTATTTTATTTCTTTACATGCAGGAAATGTAGTGAATTCAGCCACCGCCGCCGCCGCCAACAATACTGCAGCGGCGGCTTCGAATTCCAGCAGCAAGCACGGCCACCACAAATGGGTGGGGCCCTCCGGCCACCTCCTCATCACCGTCGACGTCGGCGGCTCCGGTGATTTCCGGTCAGTTCAAGCGGCGGTCGACTCTGTCCCGGAGAATAACCGCAAGAATGTGCTTATTCTTATCGGTGCCGGTTATTACATGTAAATAAAATCTGCATTTTGTAATAATTCACTCTCTCTCTCTCTCTCTCTCTCTCTCTCTCTCTATATATATATATATATATATATATATATATATATATATATATATATATATATATATATATATATATATATATATATATATATATATATATATCAATTTAGCATGCAGTTTAATGATATATACACAACTTATAATTATACATACAATTCATGTTAATTAAGTGTATAATTTGTAAATTAGATATAATATAAAAACTTCAAATATATAATTAGACGAATTAAAAATTATAATAAATTAAAGATCCTTATTTTTAATTTTGAGAATTATTTTGTTATATATGTGCCTTTAATTTTTATTTTATTTTAAATTTTATCGTAGCGTGTATATATTTGGTCTATACATGTTGAAATAAAATAAAATTCTGGCTCCGTCACTAAGTAATTTATGCAAATAAAATTGACAAAATTATATTTGACAGAGAAAAAGTGGTGGTACCGGCGTGTAAACCGTACATAACGTTCGAAGGAGCGGGTAGAGAGACGACGTTTATAGAGTGGCACGATAGGGCAAGTGACAAAGGACCCGACGGGCAGCAGCTTCGCACTTATCACACCGCTTCGGTCTCCGTCTTTGCTCCTTACTTCTCTGCTAGAAATATCAGCTTCAAGGTATTAATAATTAATACAATTATTTAATTTCTCTTCTTTTTATATTTTACATGTACTAAAAAATTGTGTCCATTTTTGTTTATGATTAATAATATATTTATTTCATTACATATATTCTAAGTTATAAAACAATGAATAACACTAATCTAAAATAGTTATCTTCTTGTTTTTTTTTTTTTTTTTTTTTGTTTTGTTGTAATTGCAAGCTAGTAACTATAATTGTGACTAGTGTAACCCATCTCAATTTGTTATTGTATGTTAATTTGTTGCTTTTACTTATTTTATTTAAATTATTTGAATTATTTGAAAAAACAAACAAACAAACAATTAACAAATATCATATTATAATAAGATCCAAAACCCTAATTTTTTTCACCTTAATTCAAAAAGTGGTCCAAATTGTAGCCATGGATGTGCAATATGACCGTTTTGACATGTCTCTATCTTCATTTATATTTGTTTTTTTACATCATCACATGCATCCAAAAAATATTTTACATTATATTCTTTTCATTCAGTAAAAAATAAAAAATATATTGATATATGATTTTTTCCTTTAGTTCCTTAAAAAAAATTAGAAAACAAGCGATAAATGTTGTTTTGTTTGAATATGTACATGGATGGTTGTAGAATACGGCACCGGCACCATTGCCCGGGATGCAAGGGTGGCAGGCGGTGGCGTTTAGAATATCGGGCGATAAGGCATTTTTCTCCGGGTGTGGATTTTACGGAGCGCAAGACACTCTTTGCGACGACGCGGGCCGCCACTACTTCAAGGAGTGTTACATTGAAGGCTCTATTGACTTCATTTTTGGCAATGGCAGATCCATGTATAAAGTAAGTACCTACATTAACTAATTTCAATTTCATTATTAGTTAATCTCTTCTTTTTATTAATTAATTTTTTTTTTTGGATATTATTTTTTTATTATTTTAGTACAAAAGTGAATTAGGTTAGAAAATGTGGCATTTATTTTCTTTTGTCCATTGGAAATGGTGCAGATGGAGAAAAGCTGATTTTCCTTCTGTCTGCTCTCTTTTTGTCTTTAGCATCTTTACAAAAATTAAATTCAAAAGGCTTATTTCCTTTATTTATTTCCATGCTTCAAAAGCTGCACGCGCGCACGCGCCTTCTCCTAATTACCATATCATGGTTATATTAATTTTAAATTCAAGAAAATTGTTTTTATTTTTGTTTTTGGATGACTTTTTTTTTTTTTTTTTTGTTAAATTATGGTTGGATATATTATCTACACAATTGATTCTTTTAGATCTCATGATAATATTTATCAAAAAACCATGATGTTTGGTTCAATTTTCATCTTATTTTTTATCTCTTTTCAAAAATGAATTTGTGTTTGTTAAGATTTCGAAAAATAATCCTCATATGAATATTAAGTTTATCTGCTACGGTAAAAAAATATCTTAACTAAAAAACAAATAAATATCATTTTATTTTTTAAATTCTTCTTCTAATTTTTTTTAACACATTTAAATATGATTTGACTGTTAAAATGTTTTTAGTCTCGTCTCAAAGTATAAACAAACATAACTTTAATTCTTAAATTATTTCCGTAAAACATATTTCCCCAAAACATATTTGACTTGTATATGATATGAAAAATATTGGAGTGAATTTTGAATATCACTTTCAAAATCGGATTCACTAGCAAGCAAATTATCCGATTTATATAGTCGAGCTCTCGCGTTAATTTAAAAGTATTGTCAAATAATTTTTTTTATTTACTTATTAGTATATTAAATTTAATTAATACGCGAAAATTAATCAAATCACGATATAATAACTAAACATATTTTCGTTATAATTGGTGCAGAATTGTGAGCTCCACTCAATAGCGACGAGATTTGGGTCCATAGCGGCCCAAAATAGAAACTCACCAGACGAGAAAACCGGATTCGCATTTGTGAACTGCACGGTAACGGGTACGGGCCCACTTTATGTGGGTCGGGCAATGGGTCAATACTCCCGGATCGTATTCTCGTACACATACTTTGACGACGTCGTTGCTCACGGAGGATGGGATGATTGGGACCACATTAGCAACAAGAACAAGTGAGCCCCTTTAAACTAATTAAATTTTATGAAATAATTACTAACTAATATATAATAGGAAACAATAACTAATTGAATTTATATACTTGGAAAATAAAATAAAAAAATACAAAAAATGCAGGACAGCATATTTTGGAGTGTACAAGTGCTTCGGGCCGGGAGCAGCAAGAGTACGTGGGGTATCGTGGGCCCGAGAGCTGGACTACGACTCGGCCCATCCATTTATTGCCAAGAGTTTTGTTAATGGAAGACACTGGATTGCACCCTCAGATGCTTAATTTTTTTTTTATTTTTTTTTATAAATATAATATATCTCAATTCTTTTATTATTTTGCTGATTATGTACTATATTTCTAAAAGAAAAAAACATTATTCAATTCATTTAATTTATTCAATTACAATAAGGTTCTCAAAATTGTGGCATTTGTTATTGCTTAATTCCACTTAGCACCCTTAAAATGTAGCATTTTGGCACTCTATACCTTGAAAAAAAATTAGTAGCATTTTGCATCCTCGAAACACAATAAATCATTCACAATGCACCATGAATTGAATATTTAATACTCAACGAGGGTAGTATCATTTTTTATTTCAAGGGTGCAACATAACAAATTAAATCGTTATTTTCTTCTACCTCTAACATAATTTTGAGCATACAAAATGCAAAAAAAAGAAAAATTAAATAAAAAAAATAAAACGAATTACTGAAAAAACTACATTTTCTTACTAATAAAATAAAATTTTCTCACTAAATTATTTGATTGATGGATCATTTATTGTAATTATTTAAAAAAATGGATGATATCTTTGGAAGAAATTATAATTTTCAAATAAATTAATAACAAATTAGCTAACGGATTTCTCATTGTTCTTTTTATTTTTTGTAAAATATTTTTTTTTTTGTGATTTTTTTTTAATATGTTAATGAGATGTATTTTATTTTTTGTACTTCGTAGTTTCTAAAGGACCAACAAATATAAAAGAAATTATTAAACATTAGCATCCTAAAAAAATACCACTAAAAATATTAAATTACATTCATTAGCATAAAAAATCATTCATGGTGCCAGGTAATAAACATATAAAAAATTAAAAAATGCAGAAGCATATAAACAAATCTTGCTGTCATTGCAAAATATAATCTGGTAAATTCAAATGTAATAAAACAAAAAAAAAAAAAAAAAAGAGAAACAAAGTTTAATGAAAAGAGATATCAGACAAAAGGAAAATAAAATTACAGAGCAATTGTGTGTGTTGTCTCACATAATACAACAACCCTGTTGAGACTCGAACATCTCCGGTGATCTGCAAACATCAACAGACCAAATTCATCAGCTATTCTGCTCGGTAAATAAAACCCATACATTTATGTAATATGTAAAGCCTATAAATGAACGCACACAATTTTATCGGACCCAATATAACATAAAATCAAATAAATCAAACTGGAGTTAAAATTGTTATGGGAACTCGTGTTTCTTGGGTGGTGTTTGCAAAAATAGAAGCTAGTGATTATGAATAAAGCTCGAGATAATTGCTTATTTTTAGAGGTTGGAGGTGTTTACAAAAAAAAAAATAAAAAAATACAGCTTTAACCAGCTAAAGAATAAATTAAGAACACAAACATGCAATGCAATTTCTCCATCAATTATAAAAGAGATTTTAAACCAAAAAAAGTTGCATAGATACAATGGAAATTATAACTTAGAGCAGCTTATTTTAAGAGAAACAAATGCAAAAGTATTACACTGCAAACACTCGCAAACAATTTATGGACCGAAAAACTCATAATCTGTTTTCAAAGTTTCTGCAAACACCACCCTAACTCCAAACCATACAGCTATTCCGTTTGTTTTAGTTAAACCTCTATAAATTAATACAGCCGGGCCTTGCAAAAATTCTATTCATTTAACGAAATATTAAATTATCGAACTAATAATTTAATACGTTTTCACCGAGTCGGGACCGGGATAAATTATTTTTTGTGCGAGGTTATTAATTTATCGAGGTTCTACTGTAAACAAGACTTGCCTCATCCTCATGACTAGTTGATCTTTTTTCCTATATTTAGATTTAGCTTCACACGAGAAATCATATACCATTGGCTTACAAGAAATTGCGCATTAAAAAACGTTTTAAATTTCATTTAAAAGAAATTTAACTTAGATATATACTTACAATTGTCCAAGAGTTGATAAATCAAAGTCGGGAGCGAGCTCTTGCACAATATCATTAGGTGGTTGGCCACACTCTTGCATTTTCTGCATGAGCTCAACAACCTTGTTGAAGTTATCTGGCTCAGCTTCGTATACGTTGTTTAGTTCTTTTATAAGCTCGTGCTGCCGTGAATATCGGGAATATTCTTCCTCCGTTAGTTTTGATTTGTTCTCAACCAACCATATTGGATATCGCTCCCCAATTTCTTTCATGGGTTCGTAAAGGATTTCTTTTGAAAGCAGTTGTTGCATCATGGTTTCCACCATCGACTCCATATCCTGCAAATACGACCCCAATATTTACAATTAAATGGGACTAAAAATTAATAAACAGAATTTTTACATAACTATTTGTAAGATGAAATATAACTTAACTCATGCCACAGAAAACAAGATCGACAAAAGAAAGAGAATAATGAATATTCAAAAGTAAATCAAATTCAGGGACGAAAAGGTAATCGCACCAAATATCTGCATTTCTGAATACCAAATGACTTCACTACCCTGCCGGTACGGTTTTTTTCTTTTATCGTATCTCCGAAATCCCTAGTCATTTACTTTGCCAAATCGATGCATCTTTCCCATTACTCCATTAAAAATACCTTGTTATAAATCTAACATGAATTGTTTAGGTGCTTAAAATTTATACTTCGAAAAAAAATATTTGGTTATTGATAATAAAACGCGAAAATATACTCAGAGACGTCGAATACAATTCTCATTGTGCATCGGTTTTATTGGATGACTTCTTTCTGAGATTTCTATAGCAAGGTTTTGTAGATATGTCTCGTAATATTCCAATTTTACGAGACCAGTGTTAGTGAACTGATTAATATCACCAAGAATAAGATACGTATACTACTAAGTACTACCACAGGTGATTTTTAAAACCTTACAAATAGCACTGAAATTTTATTCAAATCTATGCCACTGCTAAAGTTTATGACTAGTAAAATATTCAAGTCGTGCCCACTCGATTCATGTAAGACACGGTTATTTTTACACCTAAACAACAATGTTGAAGGTATTATACAAGAAAATGCAAACTCCCGACATTAACTATTTTTTTAGAGTGCATCTGAATCGGAGAATTTGGATTAGAGAGAGGACTTCAAAAGAGATGGATTTAAAAATTCACCATAATGACTCAAAAACCGACACAAAATACGAGCTTAAGATTTGAAATCGATTGCAAAATGAATTCATGGATTTGAAATCATCCCTTCAAAGCATCCAATCCAAATGAAGCCTTACGAGTATTTGATTTGTACTTGTGTGGAGTTTTAATCTCGAAGGAATTACTCGTTTCCAATTTAATCGTAGTTTAGGCAGGCTCCTATAGATTCTTGAAATACAGCACGTATTTTCTCGAACATTACTCAGCAGAGAAAAACTATGAGATATATCAAACGTACAACACCTCTTCAAAGCATACGCTATCAAATTTGAATTCCCAATCTCGAAACACAGGTATCGAATTTGAACTCTAAATTTATGCAAACGGAAGATTAGGATAAAAAGAAAAAAAAAAAAACATGAAGAAACACGAACCTGAGAGCCGGCAAGCTCCTCAAACTGCTTGACCCAATCCTCCATCATCGCATCTCCACCGAAGCTATCACCGCCCACCGGGGGGCGGGGCCCGGTCACCGATTCCAACCCTTTAACGGCCTCCCTCGTTTGCTCTCTCAGCTTATCGAGTGCCTCAGAAGTACGCGATTCTTGCTTCGGCTGTTGTGCTGATTTCTGCTTACCCTTTTTCTTGCTCTTCAAATCCGGCAAACCCATACCTAATCCTTGAACACTCCCACTTACCAATGTCGAACTCTCTTGCTTGTTATCGCTATTTTTATCCAAACCCCTATTATGAACACAAATAAATATATCAAATTACGAACATATTTAATTAGAACATTAAAACCTAAATTAAGGAAAACCTAGAAAATCAACCCCCAAAATGTATGGCGTAATCCAATTAATTCTCTACTACCTTCATCCAACAACAAAATTATAAATAAATTAATTAATTAAAATAAATGCGTATTTTAGAGAGAGAAAACATGCCTTCGAGCAGAAGAGGTGAGATTAAGGCTCTGAAAATCATCCTGCGGGCGGGAGAGTCTGTCTGTAAAAACGTTAAAAATCATCTCCTATCTGCACCGTGTTCATATTAACACAACTCTTATATACACACTCTATCTAGAGAGAGAGAGAGAGAGAGAGAGAGAGAGAGAGAGAGAGAGAGAGAGAGAGAGAGAGAGAGAGAGAGAGAGAGGCTCTCTTACTGTCAAGGAGTTGGTCTAAATCATCGGAGTGTTCGGCCATGGAAATTTCCTTCGAGCTCTCTCTCTCTTCAACAACGATGGTATTATCACCGCTTTATTCACAGGGAAGAAAGGTTTATCAGAGTTTTTGGATTAAAGCCGATGAAGGGAAGTATGGATGACAGTCCAACGTTTTCTTGCTGTGATTTTCATTTTGGCCCCTTCTATTATACTTGTATTACATTTTTTACCCATTCAAAGTAATTTGTTTAAAATATATTATTGCTCTTTTCGATAAGAAAGGAAAATTGGGATTGGATCCTAGTACTTTAGTGATATTAAATGATTGATAATTGAATAGAGTAGAACTTGATAAATTAATAAACTCGATTCAATAATAATTCTTTCGGTCTTCACTTGGTAAAAATGTGCTGAATTATTTGTTTAATGATTTAATATTTCGCTAAGTTTAATAAAATTTTGTTAGTTCTAACTGTATTAATTTATAGATATTTTATTGTATATGTATTGTGTATTACTAAATATAATTATTTATGTATTTCTTTCTTACATGTATGTAAATTTCAACTTAAAAGAAAAAAACAAAAGTTCACTGTACAAATAGACCTGGCCACGGTTCGGTTCGGTTCCGGTTCCGATTTTGGAGGAACCGGAACCGAACCGAAAAAATCCGGTTCCTTGCGGTTCGGTTCCTAACCGGTTCCGGTTCGGTTCCCGGTTAGAACCGTAGAACCGTTCGGTTCTTAATAATATTTTTTTTTTATTTTATATATATATATATATATATATATATATATATATATATATATATATATATATATATATATATATATATATATATATATATATATATATATATATATATATATATATATATATAAATATATATACAGAGAGAGAGAGAGATTATATATATAGATATAAATATATATACACAGACATACATATAGAGAGAGAGAGAAAATTAATATTTTTTTTTTTTTTTTTTTAAAAACCGGTTCAAACGGTTAGAACCGCGGTTCTAACCGTCGGTTCCCGGTTCCAAAAATGACGAACCGGAACCGAACCGATTTTTTCGGTTCCGGTTCCGGTTCGGTTCTAAAACCGTTGACCCCGGTTCGGTTCCGGTTCCGGTTCCGGTTCTAACCGAACCGGTGGTCAGGTCTATGTACAAAGACATGTGTTGACATTGAAATTTTGTCAGAAAATTGGGATTAAATACAAGTTAATAGTCCACAAATTGATTCTTAATTTGGATCCAAATCAAATTTCAAAAATTCCATAATAAATTTGAAATTTATATCAAAGTTCATAATAAATTTAGATTTTATAAATATGTTATGTGGGTTAGCCTGAAATAAGTACTAAATTCTTATTCATTTGAGTTAGCTATTTGGGCTTAAAATCTAGCCCATAAGAAGTAAGTTGCAAATGTTCAAGTTAAGCGGCTCAAGTTTCAAGTCAAGAAACTCTAAATCGAACCTATAAAAGGAGGTCTCAAATACATACACTCATACAAGGATACAAGCATCAAGCAATGCGTACATCAAGTACTCAAAAACTCTCAAGTCTCAAGCTCTTGCCACGACTAAGAACAACAACCGCGGGGTTCTACATCATCATCAATGCACCATATCCACAAGACCTAGAAATCCCCAAATCGATTTCTTGATATCCATATCTACTTCCGCAAATCAAGGAATGAATCAAGCTTTCAATTCAAGAACAAACTTCGGCCATTGGATTAAATTTAGGAGAAGAATTAGAGGAATCAACAAAAATTGTTACCCATTTTCCCTTGATTAAATATATTTATTTGTTCCTATTTTTTTTCTTGTCTTACAATTTATTTTGCAGACATTTAAATTTGAGGTTAATAAATTGGCCCGCGCAGTGGGACTCTTTGCCTCTCATCTCCTCTCCTACATAAGAGCGCATATCCTTTTGTTCAACGATTCAATGGCTCCGAAGAAGAACCAAAACTCTTTGATCCAAAAGGCTGCCGAGATTGCCACACCTGTTGGTTTATCATCCATCGGGGGCATGATCAATGAATACAACTGCGTCAAATGGCTCAAGTTCCTCAAGCTCGGAAGAGATCAAGTCCAAATCTCAAGCCTTCACCACATTGCCGGTTATGGTGGTTGAAGCAACTTCCGTGGATGAGAATTGGCGCACTTGGCCCAAACAATGGCTAAACTTCAAAAAATATTCGAAGACAAAGAAATACATGAAAAATGCTCAATTAATGGATAAGTTGGAGCAGTCAGAGGTTGGGGAGTTTAGCCCCAAACGCGAATCGTATGCGCTTTGCAACGAGAAGGCAAAACAAGTGGAAAAAGCACAACCCAAGACGGACTTTATGCAAGGTACCACTCATTATTCAATGTTTGTTGCCACGCTATCCGTTCAATAATTGCAAGAGATGATTGCCAATACCATCAAAGTGCAATATGGCGGATTGACGCACTGAGGATGCCAGTGGGATACCAAACCCGAATGACTTCAACAATTCGACAGAAATGGGAATCCCAAGCAACATATTGCTCATTTCATCGAAACGTGCAATAGTGCGGGGACTAACGACGATTTCCTGGTGAAACAATTCGTAGACTCAAGGGAAATTTTTTCGACTGGTATGTCGACTTGGAGCCCGAGTCCATCAATAGTTGGGAAGGGATGGAACATGAATTCTTGAATCGCTTCTACAGCACATGCCGTATTGTGAGTACGATCGAGCTTACCAATGCAAAACAGTGGAAATATGAGTTGGTTGTGGATTACATCAACCGTTGGCGTGCGTTAAGTCTAAATTGCAAGGATAATCTATCAGAAGTGTCAGCAATCGAGATGTGTATCCAATGCATGCATTGGGGACTTCTCTATATTCTTCAAGGAATTAAGCCCCGAAATTTTGAAGAATTGGCTACTCGTGCCCATGATACGGAATTGAGCATCACTAACTATAAAAGCGATTTTACGGTGGACAATAAAAGTATGGAAAATAAAGACGCAGTGAGAAAGAGAGGAAGATCAACGTATGTTTAATGATAGACGTCAGCCTACGTTGAAAGAAATGCAAGAAAAAGAATACCCATTCCCAAACTTTGACGTCTCGCAAATCTTTGATACGTTGTTGGAAAAGAAATTGATCTAGTTTCCTGAACCAAAACGCCCCGACGAGGCCGAAAAGGTAAATGACCCTAAATATTGCAAGTATCATAGAGTTATCGGCCATCCTATATATAGAAAAATACTTTGTGGTAAAGGAAAAAATCCATAGATTGGCACGAGAAGGAAAAATAATCATAGATTCCGAAAATGTGGTCAACACAAATGTTGCTAGCATCCCTCATGCCAGGTGTGCTCGTCAAGTCCTATCCTCTACAGTAGAAGAATCGTCGAAAACTCCATCATAGAACTAACCATGTCTAACAAGGTTCTATTCAGACATTCGGAAACTACGTTTAATTGAGGATTTGCAGGTGGATTCCATTGAGATTGTTTTCCAGTCTCTTTTAGATAATCAATAAACCCGATACTTACGTATTCTCTACCACGATCGGATCGTAGTTTCTTAATACTTCGTCCGAGTTGTTTCTACTTCGTGTCTAAAATCTTTGAACTTTTCAAAAGTTTCAGACTGGTACTTCATCAAGTACACATACCCATACCTTGGAATAATCGTCGGTAAAGGTAGCAAAGTAGTTAAAACCACCCTTCGCACTAACGCTTAGTGGACCATATACGTCTGTATGGATCAAATCCAAAGGACCTTCGGCTCGCTCCATTTACCCGTTGTAGAGTGACTTGGTCATTTTCTTTATAATGCAGGATTCACAAGTTTGTAGTGATTTCACATCGTCCAAAGTGAACAATCCTTCACTAACAAATTCGTTCATCCTTCTTAAAGTGACATGACCTAATCTAGCATGCCAAAGTTGTGCGGGGTTTTAATCTATCTCCTTACGTTTTGTTGATATGACATTAACGGGTATTTTGTGTTAGAGTAGGTGACCAGCAAGCCAACTCGTGACTGTGGTCTTTCGTTTATTATTGTACTAAATAATCATTTTTCGTATTAATGATAAAACACCTTTTGACATTCTATATCTTTGTCCCTTTGCATAAGCATAGATATAGTCCTTAAAGTTATAATAATTACTTATATTTGATCTAATGGGATCATGAGATATTTAGTTAAGTAATATAACTGTTAAACCATGTTCCTAGTCAATGGGATACGCCACCAATGAGGATATCGTTCTTTTCCATTCGAGACTAGCACTTAGTGTGTACTTATGTGTGTGATATCGGCATACGTAAGTGGGTGCTCATAAGTTGATGGGTTCACTGAACTCCATCATCCTAGAGATCTCTAAGTGGTTCTCAATAATCGAGTAGATGTCTCTATGATATAGTTGTACACCATTAGTCCTTAAGACCCAGACATCACCGTGACTTCACTAGAGGACCAGCTGTATCGTGACCTGTCCCTGAGGTCCACCGAGGACCGCCCCAAGGGCCAGTGTTCGTGCAGTCCGAAATCTAGTGGGTGGTATGTGCATTATAGTCGGGGATGTTCTTTGTGTTCGTATAATTTGTAATCATTAATTCTCTGGCCAGAGCTGACTATGTGATGATTAGGGAATATGATTCTCTAAGTCATGCACGAACCAATTACAACACTTAGAACGATCGCAAAGTTATTGTACTATAAATGAGGTCTCGATGAACCAATGCCTCTAGTTTAATCGGGACATATGTATCGAAAGGATCGTACTGTACGTTAACTATATCACACGGTTCTTGCAGGCACTTCATTTGTATCTCGGGAATCATGATGCGTAGTTGCTAGACGC